GGCTGCCGCGCCTTTGGCGCGTCACCATAGGCTGCCGTGCCTATACATGTCGCCTGTCAGTGTATTTTGTCACATGCATGCACATTATTCTCTTCTCAGTCTTGAGTTGTATTTGGATATCTATGAGCATTTTTTGACGCCTACAGATACTCCCTCCAAAGTATCTCAGACCCGTTCTTTTAAAGAGGAGTTTGAGACACTTTGGATAAGATATGTTTTACTTACAATCTCTTCAGTACTTAGTTGAGGAGATTACGTAGAAGAATCTATGAACAGCTTCAATTCTTGACTTCTTCATCTTTTAGTCTACTCAGTGCTTTGTAGAATAGCTAAAATTCTTCCGGTGCTGCGTTTATCGCTTGGCTGTTATCGAAGTCCTGAATTAGAGCTGGTGTTGAAGAATAGAGGAATAGTTTAACCTCATATACCTATTGGGAGGTTCAAGGAGATGCAGTTTATACTCATATACTCATCAGAGTTTTCAGGAAATAGTTTAACCTCGTATACCCATTGGGAGGTAATCAGGTTATTCTTAAGAATATTCTGGGTGATATTCTCCAGAAACTTCCTGTTGATGGTAGGAAAACAGTATAGACTCGTGTACCTATTGGAGTATCATGGTCTCTTTTTTGTTGGTAGAGATGAACCTGATGATGGAGAGGAAGAACTTTATATTCTATCTCTTGGTCTCTTTTTTATTGGTAGAGATGAACCCAAAATCGGAGAGAAAGAATTTTATATTCTATCTTCTGTTACAAAAGAAACTCAAAGTGGGATCTCCACCTTAAGAATCTGAAATGGCAAAACTAAGAGTGGGATCTCCACTCCGAGAATCAAGAGGATTTAGATAACCCTAACTGTTTAAATGTTTGATTATCCAAGAGAAGATTTCTCGTTTATTGAGATGTAATTTCAAATTTGGTCTTAACTGTTTAAAGGTTTAACTAAATGGGGATTTGAGACGATCCTGACTGTTTAAAGGTTTGATCGTTTAATTTGTGGACCTCTCGTTCATGGAAGGAATCGAGAGGAGATTTTGTCTTTGGTCCTACCTGTTTAAAGGTTTGACCAAATGAGATTTTGAGACGATCCTAACTGTTTAAAGGTTTGATCGTTCAATTTGTGGACCTCTCGTTCATGGAAGGAATCGAGAGGGGATTTTGGCTTTGGTCCTAACTGTTTAAAGGTGTGACCAAATAGGAGTTTTAAAACAATCCTAACTGTTTAAAGGTTTGATCATTCAATTTGTGGACCTCTCGTTCATGGAAGGAATCGAGAGGGGATTTTGGCTTTGGTCCTAACTGTTTAAAAGTTTGACCAAATGAGAGTTTTGAAATGACCCTAACTGTTTAAAGGTTTGATCGTTCAATTTGTGGACCTCTCGTTCATGGAAGGAATCGAGAGGGGATTTTGGCTTTGGTCCTAACTGTTTAAAGGTTTGACAAAATGAGAGTTTTGAAACGACCCTAATTGTTTAAAGGTTTAACCAAATGAGGATTGTCAATTGTCATGGATTTAAATTTTAGGTGTTGTGTCAGAGCTCAATAGTGGGAGTGTTAAAGGCTCGGACACAGCGGGGGTTTAGGTGGATTTAACTACGAAACATTTTGGTGGGCCCACTATCAGTTGATTTGATCGGTGATGGATTTTATGGTGGAGGACTGTGAATCATCAAGCACTCCACAATTAGACCGTAGGAGTTTCGTGAGGAAAGACTGACTCGATGAGGTCATTGAATCTTATCTCAACGAAAGAGTGCTTGGAAAGTCACAGTAGGAGTTGGCGAAATTGATCCCGACGATTGAAACCAACCAAGAATCGGTTGAAGGAAAAGCAAATGGGACATGCTTCATCCTTGAAGGATTTCAGAGTTTCATGAAGGAAGATTGACTTGATGAAGTCATTGAATCTCATATTAATGAAAGAGTGCTCTGAAAATCACAGTAGGAGGGTTTTAATCATTTTGGACATGATTAAATAGCCACAGCGGGAGGTTCTTAATCATTTTTATCATGATTAAGAGTGGATTATTCAGATGATTAGTTTTTACCTTGAATAATCAATTAGTTTCGGGTTATCCTTAAGAATACCATATATAGCATTCTCCAGGAAATTCCCGTTAAATAGGTTATCCTGAATGTATTGGGGATAGTACTTTTTCAAGAACTTCTCGTTTGTGAGCAATATTGCTGTTCTTGATACAGAATCAGGTCTTGGTTCCTGCCTTCGTATTCAGCCATGATAACCTCGTATCCACCCCCAGCTTTTAGGTGAACCTGAGTCTAATCACATTTGGTTACATTATTAGAGCACATAATTTAAGGAAACAGTTTTTAACCTCTTATATCAGTCGGAGGTTCGGGAAACAGTTTATACTTGTATACCCTTTGGAGTGCATGGAGAAGCAGTTTATACTCATATACTCTTCGGAGTTACATGGAGGAGCAGTTTATACTCGTATACTCTTTGGAGTTAGGGGAAACAGTTTATACTCGTGTACCCAATGGAGTATCATGGAGAAGTAGTTTATACTTGTGTACTCATTGGAGTTAGGGAAATTAGTTTATACTCATGTACCCAATGGAGTATCATGGAGAAGCAGTTTATACTCGTGTACCCATTGGAGTTAGGGAAAACAGTTTATACTCATGTACCCAATGGAGTATTAGTCGTCTTTATTAGGCTTGTTTTGTCGTTATGACACCGGAGTCAATTAAGGCTTGGATTTTATTTTTGAGTCCAAAGAAAACCTTAGTAGGATGAAGGACCCTTCTGTTGTATGCACAGTAGTTTGGATCTATAATCTTCTTAGCTCCCTCCTGGTCTTTAATAGGTGGTAGATCGATCTTGTCGTTGGCGAGGAGGTATTTCAAGATGGCTGGAGCTTCATCATTTTCGAAAGAATACTCCTTTTGGAACCTCGGATCGAGAGTCGCGTTCACAGCAATTTCAGATGTCGTCGGTTGGCTTCTCTCAGCTTTTTTTCTTTTAAGAAAGTGTTCAGCTTGTTCACCGCGTATTTTCAAATATTTCCAAGTTTTGGATGATACGACCCCCAGGGCTTCCAGGACATCGATGGAGAGATTATTGTGGCATGTTTGTAGGATGAATTCCTCTGTAACAGGATCTCCGCAATTCATTGCCTTGTTACGGAAGCGCTTGACGAAATTGTCGACTGACTCTCCGTCTCTTTGCTTCTCATCAAGAAGGGTTCCGATTGACACTTCGGTGTCATCATCGAAGAAATTACTGAGGAACAAACTTTCCATATCATCCCAGCAGTTGACGCTCCTAGACTTGAGACGTCGGTACCAATCGAAGGCGGGCCCACGAAGGGTTCCAACGAATGACCGGACCATTAAAGCCTCGTTTCCAGAGATCATGCCCAAATGAGACTTG